TGCATTAAAATAAATCGTCACAATGACATTAATGCAATCCAAGCTCATCGATAATGCTCAATATATTCATTTAATTATCATTGATATAAACAGCGGATGATAATCCCGCTTCTGATTTTGTGACATGGCCTGTGAAAACAACAAATGAAAACGTTTTTATGATAATTTGTTTTGGTTAATTAAAATTATTTGTAAATCAATTTGAAGCTGATTGCAATTAGCGTTTAAAAATATTTACGAGGCTATTGAGTGCCCGAATTATGAACCCTTTGTACAAATTCAATAACCACCAAAGTAATACATTTATTTTTTATGTAATAATATTTGCTGAAATATTACTTTATATACACAAACTAGCATAAAATTCTCGTGTATCCGCACACACACAACATACATCCTTTTTTCTAAAGTAATGCCCAAAATGTTCGGAACCTTTGAAACGTGAACAAAATAAAAATTTTCGTTTTCGATTTTTGACAACTTAACCTACAGAAGTTAATAATATCAATCAGACTGATATTATGCTGGTCAAGCTGTATATCGAATCTGGAACCAAATTCAGAATTATCACAGAAGTCACACGATATTAAATTGTAGTGTAAAATATATATGTATGCTGTTTTTATACAATAAATTCACCTTCGGTTTCAAATAAACCATAAATTACAATGTTATTTGCGATAACAACTACATCTGCACTAATCAATGAATAAATTAGTAATGTCTGCATTTTTTAATGAATAATTACAGTAATCAAACTAACATAACTTAATTAATCTCTCGTGCACAATAATATCGCGCTCCTGTCCGACAGGAGAAGAGGAAAGAGTTGAAGGTGCATTTTCTCTTGTGCATTTTAAATTTGTGTTAATTACAGGAAGCATATGGCCACTCGCATAAATCACAATGAAACTAATTAAAAATAATGTATTCATAAAGTTCACAGTGCTTCGAGGCTATCTTGTAATATATAAATAGTAAATGCACACCGAAAACTTTCACAGAAAGATCAGGAAGCATTATTACTATGTAACGAGGGTAATAATCAGAAATCGATATATCGAACTGAAAAAAATATTAAAAATGCATTGTGAAAGGCCACAACAAATTAATCCCGCATAGAACTGCAGCAAAGAAAAGCTATATATAGCCATCATTCATAGATTTTAAACTTTTTTCATCATACAAGCTATATAGAGTAGGGCAGGGCACAAAGATCCAATTTCACTTTCAGCAATCCTAAGAAAGTTAAGAACCATACTAATTACATGAGAATAAATAACACGCATCAAACAAACTACTATCTGTCCTGATTTAGTAAAACTCCCATCTAATTCAGGAATATAGAAATGCGTTTTTTTCTGTTTTCAAAAGTTTGTCACTTGGTTTTTTTAACCCTATAGTTGCGTAAAATGGGACGCCAGGGTCCAAACAAGCTCAATGTCTTCTTAATTTTAAACAAAATGTATGAAATAATAGCTACAATGTTAAGCAATGCAAAAAATATTTTTTTGAAGTAAAACTTCTTTAAGCGCGACTAAGGAAAATCTGTGTAACTTTAAGTGCCTATGATTCGTCATTCGCTCTCGATGAGATCATTTCTATACGGTCGATTGTGATTGATCGTTGTGTCACGTGAGTATGATTGCTTTGATTGTATGACTATACATAGTGTATGAATAATTATAGCGAAAATAATAAAACAAATGAGAAATGAAAAATCCGACGTGTAAGAAACGTAAGTTTATTGAAGTAATATGTATTATTTGTGGTTACTACATATTTTTGAGGTTATTAAAATAAAAATTATTTTTTACGCAAGACAGATACTACAACTGTTCAAAGAATGAAACAGAATTGCCAGCGAAAAAGTAAAAAACAAGCAGTTAATGAATGTATGTTAATTTTAATTACATGAATTTCTTCAAAAAATTACGTGATAACTGAAATTGAAAAACATATTTATTTAGGCGTTGTTTAACATAATAATTCTCTGCATTTTATAAATATTAAAAATATTAAAGTAGTACAGCTTTATTCTAACATGCCGAAGATATATCTTTTTACAGAATTATATCTCAGACACTTTGGAAGTTTAGAGGAAGTCTATGTGGTTTTTCGATTATGAGAGCTATTAAATATTATAAAGTTGCATATTTTAACAAATATTGAAGAATAAATTGATATTTAGATTTATTACTCTAAACAGAGATGAAGCACAACAATAGTTTGTGTAGCTGTGCATCATTTATATACAGATATACATCATAATGGACATCTATGCAGTTTATTCCTTGATAGTGTTAATGAAATTATTTAGGATTGTTATAAGTTCACTGTGTGAACGAATATTATAGAATTTATTAATCAGCAATTACTTCATTTCTGTAATAAAGGTTCAAGTCCTAAATGCTAATTACAATGACAAACCGATCAAGTCTGAAGTGTGACTCTAATTACATCATTATTTTCAAACATTATAATTATTTTTCATTGTATTATGAAAATAAAATTTATAATTTTGATTATATAAATATGTACAATGGTTGGCATTAAAAATGTGTGCATCACGAGTGTTACCATATTACTATTAAACATTAATCAAATTGTTATATGTTGTATATATTTTACTTAAATGCCATCTCGTAGCAAAAAAGTTTTACTTCAATCGCGTGTGAACCTTACACGCATTCTTTTTTTTTTAATTTATCATTCAATATAGAAATCAGTTTCAGAATAGTGTTTGCATGCTCCAGGAGCATTTTTATGTGGCATACGTTGCAGTGGGTAAATCATCAACTTAATTTGTATTAGCTGGCGTTTTCACTTATATGCTACATACTTCTACATTCAGAATTAGTTAGTTACTTTTAATACTAACAATTTCTAGAAATATTTGTCATGGCTGAACACTGTTTGCCGGGCCAGCAAGTATATATATATATTATTATTTATAAATGAATATGTCCACCAAATTATGAATATTATGTGGTTTATGAAAATTCTGCTTGATTCGCAAATAACCGATTAAACAAATAATACGTGTCCGCACTATATATAGTACTTACACATTTTAATGCAGCCATGGCAATAAATTTATCATAATTGATTAGCTTTACAAAACATACAATAATTTTATAATAAAATTATTTAACAGTATTTGTTACATGTATCATAAATCGCGAAAGATAATTTTAATTCAATTGATTTTCATTACGTCGGCAAAAATAAATGGAAATATTTATTTCATCTGGATTGCAAATATTTTAACTGTAGTGATTATTTTTGTTAAAAAAAACAGACAGAGGAGTTTGCAATGATGTACATGCATCAAAACTAGATTAGTACAAGTTTTGAATATAAATTTCAATTAAAATTAGAGAAAACGTCTTTTTATTCACCACATAGTTTTTAATTTATCTAAAATTCATATATCTGACGATTTTCATAAAATTGTTTCCACACATTGTATTATAATAATTAAAAAATATTCGATAATTGAGTTTTTCTGAATGTTGAATTTTTTGTTCGAAAAACAATCAGAACTATACATATTCTATGAGCTATTGTGATGTAATTCCTAGTGTAATTGTAAGACAAACGGGTGGTTGACCATTGTCTATCGAATTCGTTTTTTGTTGAGAAATAAAAACATGCTTGGTATCAAGCAGTATTTACTTGATATCAAGCTGGTTGAGGTGGCTATTAAACCCAAACCACTGGTGACTACACAAATTTTTTATCACGAGAACACTATCAGCTTGAATATTGTATATAGCACATATTTTAGTCATACATTTACGTACATTTTAGTCATTAATTTTACAGTGTTTTATAAAAATTGATTTCATTTTCTTATTTTTCAACAGAAATCAGACCTATTTTTAATATTCCATAAGCTGTTGTTAAGTGATTTTGTCAGTTGTTCAATCTCTGTAATAGATATAGATATACGCAGTAATGTCCTGAAATATATTTTTATTTAAAATCATGTTTAAATCTATCTATATCTAAAAAAGAGAATATGTGTTTCAATATAAAAAGTGATATCACCACTGCTTGATATCAAGCTGTCCGACGTGGAAACAGAGCCTGTAACTTGTGGTTTCAAGACCAAAGCTTTTACCACAAAGCTCTGTGATAAGTTTTGACGGAGAGTGCAACACAATATTATACATAAAATATTCAATTGGCTGATGTAATGCATTTTCATATACCCAGCTCTATTAGAAGGAAACCCAATGATTTTCCTTTAAATTTGTGATAAAGTCTTCACTTTACATGTTTTTATTTGTAATGTGATATATATTGTAGTAATGGATAATTTCATTTGGAAACATATTAGTCCAGTCATTTAAGCTTAAATTAGGTAAGAATCTCAGAATTCGAGATACCCAGCTGTAAGTCTGTAAATACCCTAAAATAGTACCCTAAAAGTTGTCTCAAAACCCACATATGGTACGTACACCCTACCATATGTAGGTTTTGAGATAACTTTTAGGGTGCTATTTTAGAGTATTTACAGACTTACAGCTGGGTATCTCGAATTCCGAGGTAAACTTACTACGATGACTGGACTGCTTTATAAAATGTTGTATGTGGTACAGAATTTAAACTCGAAACCTTGTTGTTGCATGGCAGAGGCTCTTGCAACTGCATTAAGAACGTTTATTAATATAAATGAGAGCAAAATAGAATATAGTATAAAATGTCCAGGTAGTAAAGTAACAGTATTGTCAAAAATGATTTATTCGAAAACTCAACTACTTGTGGAATTTGCAATAGTGCTATTGTGCAGATTAAGATGTGTTTTGTGCTGCATTATATTTATCACAAATCTACTTAAAGTACTGCAATCTAAAATTTATGAAATAACAAAAATTATTTTTATTATTTTACAAATCTATGACCTATATTTAAAGGTGGGATGAAGTGGGACGAAGTTCTTAATAGATATGCACTAATTGAGCCAATGTATATACCAAATAGTGTATGTATCCAAAATTATACAAGCTCTTAATAAAATTCCGATGATTTGACATCTTTTTTTAAATAATATAACTGACAAAAAATGTTTAATAATAGTATTTTGTTCTACCAGTATACAGGATGGTTTAAAACCATATCTAAGTTGTGTGTTACGATAAAGCGATATTTTGTAAGTATACACAATTTTTAAATTTTAAAAATACCTCTTGATCGTTAATTGATCAAAAATGTGAATAAAATCAAATTAAAATTATTGAACGTTTCGATACCAATATATGTATTAATCAGTGTTTTTTTAACATTCCAGAATCATTGTTGAATATATATGTTTTATTTTGGATTCTCTTTGAATCATTCTTTAAATTATTACGTTTTCCTCGCATACTAATAATAATATATAATAACTGCGTAGCCTGGTGTTAAATATTTAATAAATTCGTTCCAATATTTGTAATTTTTTTGACAAATTTACTATAATTTAACACACTGATATAGATAATCAGAGACTATTGAATTAGAAATTCAAGAAAAACAAATAAAAAAACAAGTCCTTTTTGTAGAGGTTATGAGAAAAATCCTATACAGAGAATTGATAAAGTTGTATAATTTTGTAGTAAAAGAGACTGGGTACGGTAGTGACAGTCGTTATAACTGCTAAACCATACTAATTTCGAGATAGGGTCCAAAAGAAAAAATACGATCAAACATGTTCCCATTATAACTTTCAGTCAGTGCCTTAAATTAATATGATTTGCAGACCGCATTGCTTTTAAAGAGTCAAGAGTAAGTTTTCATGTTCATATATCACTTTGTTGTTATTTTGCTATAAGTTGCTATTAATATTTATTTACCAGCAATTTGTTTTTGCTTAGATAATTAAGTTCAGTCATCATAATTTGTTTTCAAAAGGCTGCGTTGGGTGCGGTTGTGACAAATTATGTGGGTACGGTTTTAACATATATTTCTTGTCCTTTTCGGGTGAAGATTAAATAGATATATTTATTATTTTATTTATTGTTTTGTCAATCAAGACTTAAAAAGTCTTATAATACAAAATTGCTTATTTAGGTAATAAAGAGAACAATAATATAAAGTAAACAGTATACATAATAAGAAATAATAATTAAGAAACTAAAGGAAAATTATAAAGTGAAGTAAGAAATAAAAATATAAATTAAACAAAAATGGCGTGGTGAAAGGTGTTGCCGACTTAAATTCGCCGGAACACGCATTTGTTCATTGCAGCGGTAGATCGACGGGCCATTTCCTTTTCAGGCGTCTAGTGGGTCTGGGCAACATTTTGATGGTTGGATTTGCGTGGACTTGTAGTTTGTTGTTGTAGGCTAAGCTTCTTGATATTATTTGTTCATGAACTGTTCTGATATTTAAATCCTTATGTAGGCAGAAGTTGGTGATATACCACGGTGCATTTGTCAGTAAACGTAAGATTTTGTTTTGACACCTCTGGATGATGTTGATGTTGGATTTACTGGCACATCCCCAAAGTTCTATGCCAAAAGTCCAGATGGGGATGATAGCCGTTTTGTAGATGAGGATTTTATTCTCAAGTGATAAATTACTTCTTCTGCCTACCAGCCAATACAGATCTTTTATTCTCAGTTGAATTTGTTTTTTCTTGTTGAGTATGTGCTCCCTCCAGTTTAATTTAGTGTCGAGGTGCATACCTAAATATTTTACACTGCTGCAATTCGGAATTATTGAATTATTGAGGAGGACAGGAGGACTATTGTGCTTTCTCAAAGAAAAAATAATGTGTTGAGATTTGTCGGTGTTGATCGAGATCTTCCATTTGTGGAGCCAGGATTCTAGTGAAGTAAGGTAATTTTGGATTTTATCAGTGGCAATTGCAATGTCCATGTTGTTCGAGATTATTGCTACGTCATCGGCGTATGTGCAAATCATCAAATCTTCATCAGTAGGTAAATCTCTTGTGTAAAGAATGTAAAGTAGTGGACTCAGGACGCTGCCCTGTGGAACACCACATTCTATGTGGCGTGTGCTTGAATAGTCACCTTTAACTCTTACGCGAAATTTTCTATTACACAAAAAGGAGTATAGAATGTTGAAGTAATTGGGAAAAGTAGTTTGTATTTTAGAAAGGAGTCCTGTGTGTGATACTTTGTCGAAAGCTTGACTTACGTCAAGAAATACTGCTACTGCATGTTTTTTATGATTCAAAGCATCCAGAATATAGGTGACTGTTCTATTACATTGTTGGGTTATTGAGTGGTCCTTTCTGAATCCAAATTGGTGGTTTGGGATCCATTTTTCACCTGGATGATCTTCGCCTAGTCTGAGTAAAATTAGTCTTTCGAGAATCTTGGATAAAACTGGTAAAAGACTAATTGGTCGGTACGAACTGGCATGATGCGGATCTTTATTTTTCTTAGGAATCATTATTATTTCTCCAGTTTTCCAAGCTGTAGGCCAATAGTTGAATTCAAGAATTGCATTGTAAATATTGGTTAAAAATATTATAGAGTTTTTTGGCAATTCTTTTAGCATTTTTGGAGTGATATTGTCGATGCCAGGGGAAGACTTGTTTTTTAATTTTTTGATTGTGCAAGCAACATCATTTGGAGAAAAATGTTTTATTCGTTTTATTGAGTCGATATTTGATTGCCACGAATTATTGCAGACTGGACCTAGGGACAGATTTGTGTCGGTAAAAATATTTTGCAAGTGATCTGCAAAAGCTTCAGCTTTCTCCGTATTTCTTTTTGTCCATGTATATCCATTCAGAGATTGAATCTTCAGTGGAGGGTTCGTTAGTGTTGGTTTCCCTTTGATTTTGATAGGCCTCCAAATGGAGTTGTCAAACCTGTTGAGTTGCAATAGATATGTCTTGAAAGCGTCGTTTTTCCAAACCTTTACTTTATTCTGTAATGTCCTAGTGAGTTGGTTTAACTTAGTTTTATCTTGAGGCTTGTGTGATAGTTGCCATATCCTTCTTGCTATCCTCTTCTGCGAAATTAGTTTTTTAATTTCGGAAGGAATAATAGGTGTGGAATTTTTCGTGCGACAGGTTGGAGTAACTAACTTTGAGGATTCTTTTAAAACTGTTGTGAATTTATTTATCTTGTAGTCAATGTCGGCTGAACTTTTCGGTCTGGAATGTGGAAAAAATTTTGAATCCAGTAAAGCCCTGAATTGATCCCAATTTGTAAATTTGTTGTGGAGGATAGCTGAAGGTTGTTCATTTACAGGAATTGAGCTGAATGTTAACACAATTGCAGAATGATCTGACGAAAGATCATAGCTGTTCTCTATGTCAAAATTATTTAAGGAGATACCTTTAATTATGAAAAAATCCAGAAGATCTGGTACTTTGTCTGGATCAGAGGGCCAATAGGTAGGACTGCCTGTTGAAATATGGAGGAGATTGTTATTTGATATTGCCATGTGAAGTTCTTTTCCTTTCGAAGTTGTCAGCCTGGAGCCCCAAGCAGTGTGTTTACAATTATAGTCACCTCCTAATATAAATTTGGATCCTAGTTGTTCAAAAAAGGACGAATAGTCATTAGCTGAAATTTTGAACCTAGGAGGGCAATATATCGCAGAAATGGTTATCTCAAATGATCTTGTTTCTAATAGGATTTGTGTTGCTTGCATGGATTCTTGTTGGACATTCGGAAGTGCAAAATGTTTTAAGCTGCTTTTGATTAATAATGCTGATCCACCACGAGCGCTACCACTTGGATGGTTTGAATTATAAGTGATATAATTTTGAATTTTAAAATATGTTTTTTCAGTAAAGTGGGTTTCCGAAATGAGGAGAATGTCGATATGATTTAGTTTCAGGAAACACTCCACTTCATATTTGTGAGGAATTAAACCATTAGCGTTCCATTGAGCGATTTTAATTAAGTTTGCCATTATTCAATTTATTAATTAGAGTGGTTAACATGTTGATAACGAGGCTATTTTGTTGCATAAGTTGACTGAAAAAAGTCTTGAATTCTGAGAGAAAAGACGATAAAGTGGTAGAATCGGAGTCCGTGATTGGATTCGAGGAAGTACGTTGCTGATTTCTTGTGGCGTTTGCATAGGAAACTGAGGGGTTAATTGGATTAGGAATTGTGTTGAATTTATGCGAATTGATTTTAGTTGTGATTGAAGGAGTGGGATATGGGGCGTTATTTGTTTCTTTATATAGATTTCTATTTCTTGGCTCGATATTTTCTTTGTAGAAGCTACATCCTCTGTAATTAGCAGTATGCGCGCCGTCACAGTGATAACAGTGGGCTGGAGTATTAGGGTCTTTAGTACAATCTTTTGTTCTGTGATTTTCACCACATTTTAAGCAAATAAAAGGTCTGTTACAGTAAGCCTTAGTATGATTATACATTTGGCAACGTGTGCATTGCACAATGTTGCTGGATTTGCGCGGTGGTTCTACCCTGATTATATTATTTGATATTTTATAAACATTGTATATATTTTTATTGTTTTTATTGGGCTCTAGGTCCACAAAAAACATGTTCAACGGCTCTTTAGTTAACCTATGCCTTATATTGAGAATATTTCTCACGACATGACCCTGTTTTAATAATTCTGATTTTATCAGCTCCGTGTCTGTAGAGAAATGAACATTCCTGAGTACAACCCTGTATGCTTTTTCTTGTTTCAGTTGATAAGTGTGATAAACTACGTTAGTTTGTTTTAAATATTTCGAGAGTTCACGAAAATTATCAACAGTTTGGCATATTATTTTAAAGGTGTTATTGGCGAGGCTTCGAAGATAGTACTGACTTGGCGGAACTATTTTGTTAAACGTGTTTAACATGTCCGCGGGATCTTCAACTCCGTAAATAAATATTGGTGGAGGTTTATTAACGGTTGTTACAGCAGGGGTTTTGTCTTCTACATTTATTGATGATAACGCAGAAAATCTATTATTAGTCGATATATTAATTTGTAAAGGAACATAAGAAGTTTTT